GTAGACAACCTCCCCATTACTCAGCATCAAGGAGGCAGAAAGGTGTGACTAGGTGCAATTTTGCCTCCATTCTCAAATGCGCAGGCAACTGTCCTGGCACGAAAACTTGAAGAGGTTGATGTTGAAAAGAAGAGTCGGGTGGAGGCAGGAAAAAAACACTGCTTTGCAACTATAAAAATCAACCCGCGATTAATAGCACTAAATGGATATCAGTACCTCGGTGGGTGCATCCACCAGTGAGCCTCAGGAGATGAGAAGCGAATGTCTTCTGTTCGAGAAACACGCGTTCTTCCATATTGAACACCAATCAGTTTAGTTGGATTGATCAAGTCTGCTGTGATCAAAGCAACTGCTGATCGTTTGCAGGATTTTGCATCCTATTTTCTGTAATTCATCAGTGGTTTTGATGTCAGTGGGGGATATTCTTGGACAACTGACAGCAATCTGTTCATGTCCGTTTAAAGGCTGCGTTTGACTTTTGCACGCACGTTTCCGTGTTTTTCAAAATGTCCGCCAGTATTGCCAGCATGTGGTTGTACAAGGCCCCCTGTCAAAGTCTCCGTCTGACCTGCAGTTGTCTACTGGGATAAACAAGGATACCAAAGGTTATTGTAGATGGCATTGGCGAAATCTTTCCACTGCCCCAATAAAGCGCTGATTCTGATGTCGCAAACGGAAATTTCTAAGTAATTAATGACAACCAGTTGAAATCTGAAAGTAATCACAATGCTGTGTTGTGAGTTAAGAAGCTGTGCTCGCGGCGTTGTTGGGCCAGAAACAGAATGTGAGAGAAAGACTGTAGCCTTTTTAGGCCTCATAGCCATGTGATGCCCAAAAGTGTTGTTTAGGTAGGCAGCTCACTAGGTTTTAACTTGAAGTTTTTGTCTTTTTTGATTGTTCAAAAGTCGTATGAAGGACACAAATGTTGTCTTAAAGGGGTCATATGATGCTGCTAAAAAGAACATTATTTTGTGTATTTGGTGTAATTAAATGTGTTTATGCGGTTTAAAGTTAAAAAAACACATTATTTTCCACATACTGTACATTATTGTTTCTTTTCTATGCCCCGCCTTTTTGAAACGCGTCAATTTTTACAAAGCTCATCGGTCTGAAAAAGCGGGGTGTGCTGTGATTGGCCAGCTATCCAATGCATTGTGATTGGCCGAATACCTCAAGCGTGAGACGGAAAGGAAAAATTGAAATCGCATCATATGACCCCTTTAAGTTTTAATCTGAAGTTAAAGTTTGTTAAACAGTTTAGGTTCTAGCTAGGTTCTATGCTAGGTAGAGGTCGACCGATTGATCGGCCAATTGTGCTGTAAATTAGGCCGATTTATAGGCAGGCGCATTTGCGGGCAGCTAAGCGTTGTTGCGGAACACCGGAGAATCTATCTCTGGCTGCGTGAGAGAAGGAGCAACTCACATTCTGCAGCCGCTTCTTGCTCATACACAGCTTCAGCTAATGGTGGCATGGCAAAACAGACCGTTTCGAAAGCGTAATTACGTTTTACCCTACTAGAATTGATGCCGGAAAGTTATCATATTCATAAGTGCAACAAGTCATTTGCATGTGAAAGTAGAAACCAGTGTTGGGCAGTAACGCATTACTTAGTAATTTGATTACTTTTTTAGTAACGGAGTAATTTAACGCGTTATAATTTTCAAAATAGTAATTAGAGTATAGTTACAAGCCGAGGTCTCTATACGTTACTGCCGCGTTACATTGCTGGCAGAATGCAGTGATTTCTAATCTAGATTGTAAAAAAGGATGTAGCTCACGCACTGTCGAGTCAAGTGCCAGTGGATTAGAGACCTGCTCTCCTGCGAGACCCGACGCAACAGAGTGCGGCGCGGGACAAGACTTGATAGGTGAGTGCAGAGACTCGTGTGTGTGTGCGGGATGCGGGAGAATTGGAGATGCACCGATTGCAATTTTCTTGGCCGATTCCGATTTTTTTGTTAGTGTGATCAGCCGATGCCAATTCCGATTTTCTTTCTAAGAACTATAATTGACAGCATATACAAACAAAAATCTACTTTTCTTCAACGCAAAGTTTTATTTTCAATAAAAAAACAAGTAAAAAGTCAGTAATAAGATAAGAACACAAAAAAATTGCAAACAACAGCACAAATAATGCAATAGAATAAAGAGAACTATGAAACTAAGTTTTTCAGGTTAAGTAAGTTTTTATTCAGGTAAGAAATACTACAGAAATTAAAGTAATCAAATGTAAAATAACAAGGCATCAGCCAGTGAAAAACCCATATCGGTCGACCTAATGCTAGGTTCTCAATTGAAGTACAGCCAATGACACATGCCAAAAAAAAAAAACAGTCTAGGTTGGAATCTGATGTGTTAAAGTTTAAATTGAACACTTGAAAGTACATATGATGGCCAAAAATGTTGTCTAGCTTTTAAACTGTAGTTTAATGATTTCTAGGTAGGCAGCTCACTAGGTTTCAAATTGAAGTGTTGAAGTTTTGGCCATTTTGTTCTTTTTTTGCCACTTATTTCATTGCCAAAACTGCTGTTAAAGTTGTAATCTGAGGTGTTAAAGTTTAAATTCGACATCCAAAAGTTCATATAATATCTAATGATACACTCTTAAGTAGGCAGCTACATTCGTTTTGACCTGAATTGTGGCCTTTGAACTGACCTTCTAAACATGCATACGATGGTTAAAAATGGCACTTAGGTAGGCAGCTCAATAGGTTTTAACCTAAAATGTTGAAGCTTTGGCCTTTGAAATGATCGTTTAAACTCACATATGATGCCTAAATAAGCTGTCTAAGTAGGCAGCTCACTAGGTTTAAACTTGTCAAAGTTTTAGCCTTTCAAATATGCATATGATAACCAAATATGCAATTTAGTTTTGCTCTTTAAATTGAGTGTTCAGAAGTGCATATGTCCAGAGCTAAGACAGCAGTCCATTAGGTTACAGTTTTGAACTCTGATCACTTGAACAGACGTATAATGCCTAAAAATGTCATTTAGGTAGGCAGATTTCAAGGTTTAACCTAAAGTGTTTGACTTGGCCTATGAATTGAATGTTTGAGTGTACATTAAGCATCACGAGGTCGAGACAGTCCATGGGAGATGGCTCACACTTGCATGAATGGCATTTTTTGCTACTGTTGAATGAAACATTTGACATTATGCCATGTCAATAGGTAAATTTTTCTTTTCATTTGTAAGGCTAGGTGGGGCTGTCGATACCACTCACATGTCTGTAGTTGAAAGCCCATGCCCCACCCACGCTATCCCATGAATTTATTGAAGACAGGTTAACCTTTTTTGTCTTCTCTAATAATCTTATTACATCTTTCTCTGCTAACACACCTGATGGAAAAAGGCAATCTGAAGATGTGTCATCACTGCTGTGTGCTTGGGTTTGCCCATACTTGATCTCATTTCTTGTGGGTTATTCTTCTAAATATTCTTATCAAAACCATCACTCAAGGAATTTGTTCTTTATATATACACACTGCTGTTCAAAAGTTAATATTACAATTTAAAATAACTTCTTTTTTTTTCCATTTTAATGTATTTTAAAATGTAATTTATTCCTGTGATGGTAATTCACAGCATCAGAATTTTCAGCATCATTACTCCAGTCTTCAGTGTCTCATGATCTTTCAGAAATCATTCTAATATGCTGGTTTGCTGCTCAAGAAACCTGATTGACAATGTTGAAAACAGTTGTGCTGCTTAATACTTTTATGGAATTTTTTTTTTCATTATTATTTGTAACAGCGTAAAGTAGGGCTGTCAAAATGGCTGAAAAACCAAATTCGAATTTTTTACTTAAATATGATCAATATTCTAATTATATTCAAATTTAAAAGGCATAATTTCAGTTAGGGGGAAAAAAAGCTTTTGGCTTCTTGAGGCCAGAAGAGGGCGCATCGAGCAAAATATTATGCACGTTTCTTCAAAGCATAATAAAATAACACGACTATCTTTGAAAAAAGTGCATAATGTTTAAAATAATGTTTATAAACTTTATATAATTAATAAAGTTGCTTAAACAATTAGAAACAAAACAGCATCATGCATGTATGTATAGTTTAATACAAAGGACCGAAAACCAATCACAAAGAGTACTTTCTTCATTTAAAAACTTGAGATGCCGTGGGATGGGGAAAACCGCCATAAAGTCTTGAGACATGTTTTTTAAAAGTTGAACTTGCATTAATTTTATATGGCTTTCTAAACATGCGGCTCTCTTGCGAGACGCAAGTGCAACGGTGATATATGTCCCTCTAGAAAATGCGATAAATTTGCGTTCTGTGTGAATGGCTTGGTTTCGGTTTTGACGTAAACAACATCTTCCCCGCATTGATTGTTCTCTTTTTCTGCAATATTTTGAATGAACAACGTAGCAGCGGCGCATCTAGTGGGTTCAACTGGACAGGCTAACAAAAGCATTAAAATGCAATGACACTTGCATCGTCGTCGCATTTCGTGCGCCACTGATAAGGCTGCCTGACGCACACCTAAAATTCGAATGCAACGTTTTTGCGTTCGAATGTGGATTTTTATTATAAATTCGACGAATATTCGAAATTCGAATTTTTTTTTGACAGCCCTAGCGTAAAGTCTTTTCTATCACTTTTGATCAATTTAATGCATCCTTGCTGAATTAAATTAAAGTATTAATTTCTTTAAAAACAAAAACAGAACCTCAACAGTAGTGTGTCTGAACATAAAATTTGAAACCAGTTTCACGATGACTAGGCATAAATCAAGATCTTCCTTTCCTTGAAAATCTGAGACTTAGCCAGGCATGTTTGTAGCACAACATATCCGATTTCCCAAACCTGCTAACAGCCAGGCTGTTAACCTTAAACTGACCAGATAATCCACCCAACAAGATCCTGTTTACTTCTACATGAGCAATCGGTTGAAAACACAATATTAAAACATGTATAATGATGTGTAATGCTCTATAATGTATCTAAATTAAGTTTAATTAAGTCTATGATGCTTTCTGCCATAGCTTCTGGAATATGTCGGGAAAGGGAAGAGCATCATGGACGTGGGTCTGGCTCAGGCCCGGCAGCCCCTCACGACACAAAGTCACTACTTTGAAGTGGAGATTGTGGATCCTGGAGAGAAGTGCTACATCGCCCTTGGCCTGGCAAGAAGAGTAAGTCATTTGCTGTATTTTTCCTCATTTATAAGTTACTTGATTTAAAAGCATCTGCTAAATCAGTGAATGTAGGGAAGTGCATAAATGCATTGCAAATGATTAAATGTTAAATGCATTGCAAATGATGTTTAGTTTTGTTTACTTTTGATCAAACATTCCCAGTGGTTTTTATGGTCAAGCCCTGAACAAGAAGAGATGTGTACAGTAAGCTCTGGATGTACACCAAGATCGCAAATGCGGTGAAGAAACTAAGTTTGACATTATAAAATGCCCTGAGGTGCAGAATGCAAATAGAACAGTGGTTTGAGAGAGTCACCTCAAAGGAACAGTTCACTCGTCTGTCATGATTTACTCATCTCCACGTCGTTCCCATATGACTTTTTCTTCTGTCAAATGGTGACCAGTGGCTGTCAAGTTCCAAAAATGCATCATAAAAGATTCATAAAGTAGTCCAAGTGACTCATGCAATATTACTAGTCTTTTATTAAACCTGACACAGTCATTGTACGAGCAACAGACCAATTATTTCCTAAAAAACCTTGCCTTGGGCATAGCATTCAAATCTCAAATTTCAAATCTGTTTAGAATATAATGTCCTTCAACTACTTTTTTGTGTATTTATTAGGGCTGGGACAATAAATCGATGCATTGCGAATCGAGAAATGATTCTGCATTGATTCTTAGATTTTCCAAAGGCATCGCGATTCTCTCTTGAATCGATTCTGAGCTTAGTTTTTAACAGCAGATGGCAGTGCGTGCTTTAGAAATAGCCGTATTCTGCTTGCTTCCAGTTCCTTACACACGCACCACTTGAACCTAAAATAATCATTCATACATTTCTAAAAGGTTTAAGCAAATTACAAGGATGTTCACAGTGGGCTGTGTTTACGTTAATCCCGCATCATAAAGCATAAAAGCTGATGTGCAAGTACATTTAACCACTTACATTACTCAGCCGAACGCGCAAGCGCTCTTCTTCGTGAGCATTTGAGTGTGCTGTTAAAAACAAACCTAGAGCGCCATTTGCTGTTAAAAACTAACCTCAGAATCGATTTGAGAGAGAATCACGATGCATTCCGAAAATCTCAGAATCGATCCGCAAATCGCGATTCATCGATTTATTGTCCCAGCCCTTGTATTTATGGTTGTTTTTGCCATTCAGTTTTGTTGAATGTAAAAGAGCAGTGAGAACTTTGTTAGTTTAGTACTGTATTATTTTATGCATTTTATATATATATATATATATACCCGATCTCCGATGACATCACACAGACAGGCCCCTCCCACGATAGTTTGATTGGCGTTTCAGCACAGACTGGACTGGTGTCTTACCTTAGACCCGCCCTGAGTGACTAATAATGTGCTAATTAGCAAGTTTCTAAAGTAAACAGTCTCTCTGAGAGCAGCTCGGAAGAGAGGGGCGTGGTCAGCAGAGCTAATTAACATTTAAAGGAAAATGCTACAAAAACGGCTTGATTTGAAAAGAGCTGTTTTTGACAGGGTAAAAAAGGTGTTTTTTACACTACCATTGAGAAATTTTAACCAAACTATGTTACAGACTTTTCATTAAGACCCTAAAGAATCATATCAACTTGTGGAAAATGGGCATCCTATGACCCCTTTAACAATTTAACACATCCTTGCTGAATACAATTTTTTATTTCTTTCAAAAAAAGAAAGAATACAAATTTACTGACCCCAAACTTTTGAACTGTAGTGTATATTGTTAGAAAAGATTTCTATTTTAAATAAATGGTCTTCTTTTTAAATTTTTATTCAAAGAATCCTGAAAAAAGTATCACAGTTTCCTTAAAAAAAATAAGCACATCAGTTTCCAGCACTGATAATAAATCAACATATTTAGAATGATTTCTGAAGGATCATGTGACACTGAAGACTGGAGTAATGGCTGATAGAAATTCAGCTTTGCATCACAGAAATAAATTATATTTTAAAGTATATTAAAATAGAAACCATTATTTTATATTGTAATAACATTTTGCAAGATTACTGTTTTTTTTCTGTATTTTTGATTTAAAAAAAAAAAAAAAAAATTTAGTTTGTTTATTTCCATTTATTAATTTTAGTGCAACATTTAAAATGTTTTTTAGATCAAGTTTTTCATCTAATATCTAGTGTATTTTGGCTTTATTTCGACTAGCAAAAAAGTTTTTAATGGTTTTAGTTGTAGCTAACAATAATAACCCTAATTTACAAGGTTGAGTAAATTCGTTTTTTTTTTTTTTTTTGAGTGAGCTATTCCTTTAACCGGGAATAGTTAAGGTGGGAACAGGAACGTGACCATCGTGTTCTTCTCTCTTCCTGACATCCTGTACAAGACCATGAGGAAAGTGGAGGGTAATTAGTCTCAGGTTGGGAACTGCAGACAGTAAACAAGCCTGCCATGTTGAGTCGTGCGAGGCCGCTGGTTGCTCAGAGAAACAGAGAGCAATTAGTTTTTTTTTTCTAATTTTGACGTTTTCTGGAACTTTGCATCTGTGTTTCATTAAGTGTCAAATATCAGTTAAAGCATAGCTGCCTAATTACTGTTTACTCCCATTGGACATGTACCGTGTTCCCTGCATCCTGTGTCTGGAGAGACATTTACAAACAATGTGGTTGGGTTGTTAATTGTTACAACATCAAGTGCGCATATCACCTCTGCCGTTTGAGGAACAGCCACGGAATGGCAACCAACCTAAGTAATTGCATTATCTCAGCTGCAGTGGGAACATCAGATGGGCCGAATTATAAGATAGTTTGCTCTCTGACAGTCCTAGTTTTGGTCTGAGTATGTTGGCGGATGTGGGGAGGACGAGCTGAATTCTTATCTGCGATCAGTGAACCCTCACCCCCTGTGAACGGGGACTTTAGCTGGCTATACAAGCTCGTAAGTATGCATCTGGAATATACACTGGGTTGCTAGGATGCAAGACAAAGATTTTCTGGGTTCTAACAAGGGTGGAACCCTTGTGCGTACCGGAGCCTCAGCAGCCACGTCTGCGTGAATGGGTTCGACCCTTATCCCCTCCTGACCTTCCCTTTTCGCACCAACCCTTTCCTCTGCTCTCATCCGGCACCGCGGGCTTCGGTTTCAGCAAGCTCTCTAGCACTTTCCATGGAGCGATCGAGGGAGTGTGTGTTCCTGAAAACCCTGGTGTCCTCATTTATTTTGGAAAAATTCACATTTCAAAGTGTAGATCAACTTTTGAAGTGTTTGGCAAGAAGCACAATAGTCCATCTGTCACCAATCCATCTGACCTCTTCTGGCACTCCATTGTAATTTTTGGGTGTTTCATCAACTTTGGCCACTTTTAAACATTTTTAAACACTGCCTTGGAAACATTTTGTCTTTAAAAAATATTTTTGCTACTTTCCAAATGTCTTGTATTGGTAGATTTGATTGTTTTAACCTTGTATTTACTTTACCTTTTAACTATGGAAATCCATCATTAAAATATGAATTGTTACATATTTAAAACCGATAATCTAAAAGAAACGATAAACCATTTCATTATGTATTATGCATACATATTATGCATACATATTATGTATACACTACAGTTTTAAATATTTTTTTTGTTTTTGAAAGAAGTCTCTTATTCCCACCAAGGCTTAATTTTTTAAATCAAAAATACTGTAAAAACAGTAATATTATGAAGTAGTATTACAATTCAAAATAACAATTTTAATATTTGAATATATTTTAAAATGTAAATTATTCCTGTGATGCAAAACTGAGTTTTCAGCATCATTATTCCAGTCTTCAGTGTCACATGATCAGAAATCTTCAGAAATCATTCTAATATGCTGATTTGCTGCTCAAGAAACATTTCTGACTATTATCAATGTTGAACAGTTTTGCTGGTTAATATTTTTGTGGAAACTGTGATCATTTCTGGGGATTCATTGATGGATAGAAAATTCAAAATAACAGCATTTATTCTAAATAAAATCTTTTCTAACATTATAAATGTCTTTACTATTAATCTCTTTCAAAAAAAAAAAAGTATACACCCCAAATTTTTTTACATTTTTTATTTGAATTAATTGTTTGAAAATGAGACTGAGATATGAGACAAGTAACGTGTGAAGAAAACAAAGTAAATATAATTTGTGAACAGAAAATTTTTATTTTCACTCAAGCTGTAATTGTCAAATTACATAAAATGTGTGGAAATATTATTTAAATGTATTTAGGAAGCATAAAAAGCTTGCTGTGAAATTAGGCTTAGCTAGACAGAGAAGTTAATTGTTTTATTCCAAAAATGCTTTAAATTTCATTTCCACCACCAGCATTTCTATCACAGAATATTAAATGCATAAATTGAAGTGTGGTTGAAATGGACATTTAAAATGAATAAATAAATAAAATATTAATAAAAGACAATAATTGTCCTTTGAATTATATATATATATATATACACTATTGGACATTGTCAGGGGTGAAATTAAAAATGTGTTATATTTACTGCATCGTATTGAGCAGCAGATAGTATATACCACTTATCCCTGGTTAGGCTTTTACTTTTTCTTTTTACTTTTAAGAGTTCACTTTCTAAAAGTACTCATAGTTTATTGTTTCATGATGACAGGAGCTTGCACAAATGCCATTCCCAGCGCCCGTATTGTGGTGGTTGAGGGCAGGTACTCTCTTGGCCTAATCTGTACACTATATGTCATGTAGAGATGTGCATCTGCCTCCAACGGCAGCCTCTCTGCTACTTGTTGTCTTTGCCACAGTGTGGAAATGCAGGCAGCTCGAGTATCGCACATAAAAGCTCCGGGTGGATCTGATAGCGCTCTGCCGTGGACACATATGCTACTGTTTGTGTTTCTTGGAAGCTCGATGCTTCTCTCTAATGGCTGTTGCAGTCTCCTCAGGGGGGCAAAACGCTATATGCATGAACAGCTCCTCTTTTCAAACAGGACTATGTGGTATATAATTTCATTTGACGAACTCAAAAAAAAAAACTGTTATGTGGGTCGCTGGGCCG